AAAAAAAAAAAAAAAAAAAGAAAAACAATAATTTTTTTTTTTTTTGAGTCACTCCCGCCCCTTTTCTTTGTCGGTTCTCTCCGCGTTCCTTGCCCCTCCCCCGAGCTCGTGAATACGCGCGGGGCTCTCCGACGAAAATACTGCATCTAATAACTAGATTATATCAATAGAAATAGACAAGATGCAAAAAATATAGATTACGACCCTATCTCAGCCCATCCAACACGTGAAATACTACAATTCGTGCCGATGAACAAGGCAAAAAAGACTAGATATGGACAAAAGATCAAAGGATATATATATATACGTTCCACTAAAAATTGGAACCTATATCTTATATTCTGGAGAATATAACACAATATATGCCCGTATTTTTCGAATAAAATACGTGATTTGAAGATATTTGACGTTCTATCCAGAATAAGAATATATCATATCAAGAAATTTAAATTAGATGATATTGATTCTCAAGAACGAAAACTAAGACTTGGATCGATATGGACCATCTATCAAAATTTGCAGATTTTTAACCACAATATCAAATTGATTTCTGATAGACATGAACTCACAATATCATTATAGTATTTCTAGTTATATATCATGCCACAACCATTCATTTGAATTCGGGAGGACATTGTCCCATAACAAAAAACGATATTGGACGATATTGGCATACAATAACGACGGAATTGAGATGGCAAAAATTTTGTAGCTAGGATAATTTGAATATAGATAGAAATGACCTCCAATAATATTGAATTGATATTGGTATATCCCAACAAAATATAAATTTAGATGGGCGTTGACAAGAAGACAAGATCTAATTGGAAATAAGATGAATATTCATCTACGATATAGAAAACGAAATTTGGATCGGAGGTGATCTTTATCACTAATTAGTTTTATGTCGATAGCTAATGATTTAAAAAGAACAACGAGTGATATCCGATATCATTAAAAATTAGAAAGAGAGAGGTATTGATTCATGATAATTTTAGAAAGATATCGAATCTCAATTTAGATATGAATTGATTCATAAGAACGACAAATTGAAATAGATGGATATCGACTCATAAGATGAAGCTGCATTTTGATATATATCGAAATGCAATAAAAATAAATGATATATAAATAGATATTAATTCATAAGATCAAATGAATTTGCATGAATATTGGCCCGCAATAACGAATTGAATCCGGGCGGATATCCGCCCATTCCAATATCAATATTATCTATAATTTGATTGGATATTGGTCCGCAACATCCACATGCTCGTATTGTTGATTTTGGATAGATAAAATCGTATTTGGAATAATATCGATCCAGAAAAATTGATATATATGAATCCAAATTATATGAGTGGGATTGCGTAAATATTTATAAATATAAATCTATAAAAATGCCAATTCTATTTTAAATATGCTTTATATATTCTATCTAAAATCCAGAATCTTAAATTCAGATCTAATATGAATCGTGGACGATCGTTTGGGAAGCCTATCATATGTGATGATATGCAGAATTCCAGACAGATGGCTAAATATCTGCGAAGTCATTAGTCTCTCGTGAATTATATAGATTTGAGGATCCAAACATTCCTGATAGGATTTGAGATTCGCCACCCATCGTCTCCGTTCGAAGAGGCTTACGAGTTAATAATTTTCTTGGATTCGGGAATGATTTGGACATCAAGGAATCCTATCAAAATTATCTGTGGGGTTCGTTTATTGCAACAATTTAGATCTATTTTAGAAGATATGACTTTTAGGACTATTAATTGATTCCGTAATTTGGGATTTCTTTAATTCCATTATTTTTAAGATTCAATTAGATTTTGATATATATCATTTCTTTTGATTATATCCGACTTTCCGATTTTGCCACTTCTCTGTGATATCATGGCATTGGCCTTCTAATATATCTGAAAATGAATCTTTGCTATATCATAAATCTGGTCGTTTATATAAATGAATATTGATATAGATACATATATAAATATAGTATTGCAACTTCGATTATGGTCTTTTCTTTGTAAGCAAGATCAAATGCCTAGAATAAAGGGAACAAGAGATTGTGTCCCCTTAAATAAGAAGTAAGAAGTCATGTCGTTCGTATCACCAGTATTTCAATTAGAAAAATGACAAGAAGATCAATATAATTCAGCAATAATATGAATATTTAATAATAATAATAATATTCATATATAAAAATCAAATAAATATAAAGAAGCGCAAAATATTCGAGAAATAGTGTCTCTAATATATACCAATCTCCAGAAATTATATTAAATAAAATTTCGATAATAAATTTATGAGATATTAAAAATTTTCATATTCTAAATAAAATATCATAAATTTTATATTTACAATAAGATCTTCAAGTTTATTTTGAGCCCTAAGTGCCCTAGCTCTGAATACAAATATAATCCCAGCTAAATATATTTAATAAGTGCCATACGGGCTGGGTTTTCGAAGACTTAAATAGTGTCCTAATCTACCGAGCGCGAACGTCGGAGAGGGTTTTAAAAATGAAGTAGAAAAATCTTAATAATAACGATTCAAAAATTCGTATATATAAATACGAAAAAAAATTTAATATTCTTATAATTTTATTATCTCTTACAAAGATAGCTTCCCTATGGTCACTTCTCATTAGAAAAAAACTCTCCAATCGGCGAGACGATTACGAGATAATAATTTCTTATTTTTATTTTTTGTTCCAATAATTACGAATAAAATTGAATCTAACGGAATATTATTTCTAATAAACAGAATTCTATCCTATTCAGAAATCTTTCTTACCTATAAATTCATATTTTTCAAAAAATATTTAGCTATAGATTGTTTTCTAAGGAGGATTTCGCTTAAATGTTTTGGGGGTTCTTCCCCCTCGCACTGGGGCGTCTTGCCCCATCAGTTCCAATAGCGAATATGCAGTGGTGACAATTCAGTGATGAAGATGTAGGGTTACACTAAACTTGTACAAGGGACTCTTTCCCATGCTTACAAGGAAAGAAGTCAAAGTATTTTATATATAACCAGCTGAATTCCGCCCGCCGATTCATTATCTTTGACGACAGCAAGCTCTCAGAACGCTTGCCCCAAAAGTGCTTTAATCTTGTCAAACATCCGACGCCTGAATACCTGAAAAGTTACACCTCACAACAGTCCTTTCTGTTAATCTTTTGGTGGAGGATCTCTTGCCTCGCATTCCAAAACTTCATGCCCATTCATCAGCGTGCCATTTGAAACTTAGCTCGATGGCATCGCCGGACCCCGCGGAAACCATGGTCTGCTTGCATTCGTCTTTGGCGACGCGTTTGATTTGCCAAAGCCTCGCAGGGCCAAGCTCCGGAAATGTACAGAACACAAATCACGCATTCGTGGAGCCACCTCTTTTAGGGCGTGAAGTGGGCAAACCAAAAACCATTCGGGGAAGGAGTTATAGAGTTATGTTCTGAGAAGCCATGAGCCTTTTGAAAGTTATCTTCAGCCTTTTTTGGGTGTTTAGAACTCCCAGCACTGGCCTGTACCAGCCGCAGAGCCCAGAGCCGGAGCTGTACTGCCCCCACTCCCATCCCAAAGCCTCTCCGGGTTTCAGCTTGCGCGCTCGGGAGCCGCTCCAGGTGGTGGAGGTGTTGTCGGCCGGAAACAAGCGAAGCTCTGCCATGTCCCCGACCTCCTTGCAAATCTTGCCATAGGTGGTTTGTTCGCGCGGACATGTCCTGGGCGCGGAGTACAAAAGGGAGAACCCACAGCGAGCACCAACCGTGACCTTCTCCCCCCGGTGCCCTTGTGGCGAGATGTCCGGGAGCTTCAATGTGGTGGATTTGGACCGGAAGACGAGCTGCTCCAAGATCTCACCACTCCAGGCCTGAATCGTTTGCACCTCACCGTCTGGCACCTCTGCGCTAGCGTTCCATGATCGCGAAATGAAGGGATACCATATTGGGTACGGGTGCTCAGGGCACCAAATCCCCGCATAATCTGTATACGGCACCCATCGCCCGTTGTAGGATGTTGAGAAAGGGGAGAAGGGCCCGAGCAAAAGCTCGGCAGGCATGTGCGTCGGTCGTGAGGTGTTTTTTTCTTGACCAGGTATTATGCGGTGGAGGCTCGCATACATCCGCAGCATGGGAATCATTTCCTTGACCTGCACGGACCTCCAGTGCGTCTCCTTGATGGTCCGCAAAAGCGCACGCTCACCGACGTTGTGATACTTTACATCTGTCGTGAAGCTCCAGAGGTTTAGGATTTTTACTTTATCCTTCCACTTCTCCTCCAAGTAGAAGTCGTTGTGCCAAAAGCGTCCCTCTTTGTGCCTTTTAGACCATGAGCCAATCTGTCCTCGTCGCCAATCCTTCCATGACTTCAGGAAGCGCGGTAACTTCCTTTCCGTCCGGGCATGGACTTTCCACATGGTTTGCGGGGTCACGGTGAGCCAGGGCGGGGCCCAGCCCATGTGCTTCTCCCAGTATCGGCCAGCATTGATGGACTCGGCATAAGCCCCCATTTGAAAGTTGGCGCACAAGAGATACAGGGGAAGCAGTCGGCCAAAGTAGTCACGGTCCTTCCGTTCTTCAAGATTGTCCAGGCAGTCCCGGCCATACCTGGCTGCCGTCTTTGTCAGCCCATAAAGGTTGGAGAAGTAGATTGTGTCCAGGGGCAAACCCGCAGAAGCGTTCTTCTTCACGGCCTCCATCCCATGCTCGTACTTGTTTAGCTCTGTCCTCCCACCGCTGAGTTTCGCCATGGCAGTGGCTTTGACCTCCTGGAAAACCTCGTCACTTACATACTTCTTGGTCCACTCTTGAATCATTTCCACCAAGGGCTGTGCCCAACTGAAGTCCTTGCCTCTGCCGAGGAAGAAAACGCTCAGCACCAGTGAGCAAATCTGGCCAATCACAGGAATCTGCTCCAGGAGCGCCACCGCGGCCGCCTGGGCAAACATCACAGCATACTCAAAAGCTGCGGTTTCCTCTCAAGACGCTATGAAGTCCTTCACCGGGTCATAGGTGAAGGTCTCTTCCCGCACCGCCTGAACCTCCCCTGTCTGGTTCAAGGAGACGTGCTTTGTAGTTTTGCTGACCAAGAGGGTGGCGGCCTCATCGGTTTCTGTGGAACACTGCGCTGCCACGCAAGCCGCCAAGGCCGGCAACAAGGTCAATGCCGAAACCATGGGAGCGCGAAAGCAAAGTGAAAAAAACGCCGAGCACTTGATAAATAGACGCCAATCTCACAATACGGAAGTCCACAAATAATCAAAAGATAAATTGGCTGTTGCCCACCAAGCGTCAAACGAAGTAGTTGGGATCTCTATCAAGCGCTACTGCAGTCTCCTCTTATCTCAGATTAGATGGTCTCTGAGTGGCTGTCGCCTGCGACCAACAATGCAGCTAAGGCCGACGAAACCAATCCTAACACTATCCGAACGTTTGGCACAGTGAGTTATACTGAACTTGCTAGTCCACCCCAGTTATGAGGTCGTGGCAGCAAGTAGCTCCACACCGCAAAAGATGTTCCATGGCGTCCTTACATCGTCGTCCCTGCAGAGAGAAACCACACGTTCTCATGAGGCAGGGGTGCTGCTTTGTGCAGGCTAAGGCTTCTGAGGTCAGTTCTCTTCGCCTTTTGCGCATACCGCCAATGACATGCTCAAAGCACATGCCTTGTTTTGGAGATAGGGCGATGCGTGAACCAAAACGGCATCGTCATTCACAGAAACATCCGTTAGTCGTGCCTGGCTCAAGCAAGCTGAAATAAACAGGTGAGGCCGCACGCAACACCTCCCCCCTACACATTGGTTCGAATTAATGGGTTATGATCTGCTTTAGGCTTAGAGCCTGTACATAAGGGGATTTAGGGCTGGGGCAAGATTTGAAATACAGAATAAGGAAGGAAAACAGGGGCACGCCATATAATATATAGGATTTATGGCTTGCGTAGGGGGGGAGAGGAGTCGAGATCTCTCGGAAGCTGTGCAGGTCTATAGGAGATTCGCAAGTACTACAACGCTTGCAGCTCATTGGCAAACGGCAAACTTAAACCCTCTTTCCCGTCGCAGGCTGGTCGAGGAATGGAATGGTTCTAGCATACCTTCGGTCTCTGCTCATCTGTCCATCTTGACACATCTTGACCGCCTGACCGGGCTCAAAGACGTCGCTCCGTGGTTGAAGTTTATAGTCTACGCCTCTACCTGTGCAGCACCAAATACGGACGTAAACGTACAGCAACTTGTGGACTCTACCCCCTAAGGGGTCAATTCGGATTCCGTCTCTCTGCAACGCTTCTTTTCAAGGCCGCTCGCCCAGTCCACGCTAAAGCCCTGGCCATAACGAACTTAAACAGAACAAAACATCTGAAAACGGGTCGAACATTGGAGCTGAGGTTGAGCATTCTGTGTAGCCAAAACGAAAACGATCCCATCTGGGGTTCCAAAACAGATGTCCCAATCTTGTACACTTGCAGATAGATGGGCGGAGCTGCTTTGAACCGATTGGGACACCCAGCCCCCGAAATCCAGTGCCTGCAAGCGCGTCGTTTTTGAACAGGGAGCCCACATATTCAAGCAGCTGAATTCAGCAATCTATGCACCCGTAGTGCCATGAGCTACTACCTGTGGCGCCGATGTGGGCCCATGATCCCAGTTACAGTTTGTTTCAGTAGGTCGTGTAAAAGCCTGTGACTTTGTGGGCTTTCTGTGGGGCATGGAGCTGGAAGCAGGCACTCATCAAGGAGGCAGTCAGCTCACTCCTGCCAGCGCGGCTCTGGCTTTTCGGCCGGCTTGGGAGGCCACTGTTCCTCTTCAGAGCGCAGAACATGCTGTAAGCCTCGCTTCGACACCTGCCTGCACGTCACTGGCATGTGGAAGCTTGGCGCTTGACCCTGCCTGTTTTTCGGACAACGCCCTCATGCAGCACGTCCCTCGAACTCGTTCATGCCAAGGAACCTTAGCTCCGCAGAGCCCGGGCCGGAGGTGAGGGCTTGGCTTTTCGGCCGGCTTTTAGGGAATCGAAGGCAGCAAAAGAATCAAAGAAAGCAAAGGGCTCCTATTTGAGTGGTGGCCTTTCTGTTGCAATCTCTGCATGCGAATTGATGGCCCGTCGAGGGTGGAAGCATGCACTTGAGATCTCTTATCGCCTTTCTGACTTCGTGGTTTCATGCAAGTGTAAGGCGCAGACTCGTCCATCGCAGACTTGATGCTACCTTCAATCTCTGGGGTGATCTGCTTCTTCTCCATAATCTCCTTTGCAGTCGTACAAAGCCCTGTTAGCATTACTGTGCAAACATGGGTTAAATGGGGAGTGGAAGCACGCATCCGTTTGCTTAGGACCGAATCTGTAGGGTGGTGGGGTATGTAAAATGCTGAAAGTCCGGCCAAAGTGCGACGACCCAGCAACCCCTTTCTACCCTCAGGCCTTGAGGACATCGCCCTTGGTGTCCTTGAAATGCTTCAGCCACAAAGATTCAAATCGGAGGATCTCCTTCGTGGCGACCTGCTCTGTTGCAAACCCCAATTTGAAGGCACGGCCAGCTGTTGCACTGGAGGTATGGATGAAGTGAGATGCACAAAGCTGCACGCAGCACTAGTGTCTCGACGCTTTCAAGCATTGACGGCAACTGCAAGTCTCCAGTTTCACTGTGTTGTAATTGCATATCTTTCTCTACAATGTCACAACCACGACACTGCATCCACACAATTACCACGACAACGATTACATATGCAACAGTGGAGGCTCATCCATGCATGCAAGAGTGTCACTGTTTGAAGGAAACCTGACAAGGCCTTGTCCAGATAGCCGCGGGTGCCCGCCCACAGGGACACGATAATCTCTGCAGTGGTCATAGGCACGAACCTGAGGTAAAGGGGACCCAAAGCTGGCCGTCAAAAGTAAAAAGCCTTGATACAGCTTGTGAAGAATGATCTCCTCTGGCGGCTCTGCAGACTCATCCTACACCACTCCGATCCAGCGCTGTTCCTGAAAACAGCATGGTTTGCTGGCTCTTGGTCCAGAGCGTCTACGACAGTTCATTTCGCAATTATCCAGCTGTTTCACGCATGGTGCCATGGTCTGATTTGTTTCCTGAGTTGTCGGCTGCTTCTGCTTCAGCAGCTCGGTGAGAATACCACCTGTCAGCCAGCCGGGCTTCTACGAAAGGGAATCGAATCAAAGGAACAGCGGTAATGGAGATACGAGGTGGACTATCTGTATATAGTACAGATTGTCGTTTGCCAGGGTCTCTGTCGATGCACTCTGCAGGTTTGCAACGAAGTGCTACATGTCGAGCACTGTATGGAGTCTTGCAGCTTGCCTGCCCAACACGGACGGACAGGACAGTAATACATGCTGGGACAAATACAGCCAGGCTCCATGTCTGGTTGGCCGCGTAACATATGTATTGAAATGGAAAGGGAATGCTTTGTTCAAGTTGGACTTCGCCGGCGCTGGTGCCAAGAGGAAGTGCAAGGGATGGCATTTAGACTTGCGTCACATTGGAGAGTGTTCCTACGGTAGGAAGTACAGACTCCCAATTCAGCTGTTGAAGGGAGGCCTCGCAGCAGCTGGTGCTGGGTAGCCGCATCCAAGTCGGAGCCGAACTGCGCGAAGGCTGCGACCTGCAGGGTGGAAACATTTGAGAAAGGCCGGCTCTGGTATCCAAGGCTAAGGATTTGTAGGATTGAGGTTGGAGCAACGATCGCGCATCAGTCACAAACGGAGTGAGTTCACACGTGCCGAAACCTAAGGCCTGAAGCCACCCCGAGACCCTGCAAACAACCTCGCGGTACTGAGCAAGCTCGAGCTTCAAGGTACCAGCCACCTCGTCGCTGCACCACAGTGCCGCAATGAGGCGCATGATTCTTCTGAGAGACAAGACTCCATTATTTCCAAAATCCTAGCTAGCAGCCAGACTACCACAGCACAGCCGAGCTGGTGTTGTCTGCAATGCAGGACTGGAACTGGGCCTGTTTCATAGCCTTGATCTGGGCGGCGCTCCCGACGCCTGAGCTGAGCCAAGCCGGGATCCAAGGCAGCAAAGCACAAAATTGAAAGGAGCGTCGATAATCAAGCTTCCCCTACCAGACCAATGCTCCTGAGCCGATAGTCCAGTGACAGACGCGGCTCTGCCACATGCATCCGTGCTGCGACTCACGGACAGGCCGACATTGACCGCCGGGCGGATACCCTGTTGGTCAGAAGGTGTCTTGGAGTCAGCTTCCGTTTCCGTATCCAAGGATGCATTTGTTAAATCCCGCAACCACCCCGCACCCCCACATCCGTCGCTGGATCAAACCCATTCGTTCATCAATTTTAGATGTTCGATCTTCGATTGTACCATTCAGCCAACCTCATACTTGGATCAACTTTGTCCAACAAGGGATTGGGTACATGCATGCGTGAACACAAGCACAACTGGAGAAGATGCAATATCTGATCCCGATCTGGGGAAGGGAAAGACTTTATTTGCACTGTGTGTTCGACTCTCGTTCTGGCACAAGGCAGGTCGCACTCTGTTTAGGTCCTGGCGGTAAGCCCGTAAAAAGCAATCGCCGACGCAAAACAATTCAGATGCCCGCGTGCATTCCTTGAAGCTTTCTACTATGTTTCATGTTGCGGAGGAATCACAAGAGCGGTTGGAACTTCCTGCTGAGAACTTGCTAGGTTCTGCTAGCAAGAGCGAGCCCATTTAGTCTCGCATACTCCTGGTCTTTTCGCTTCATTCGTAATGAAGCAGAATACACATGCCAGCGTTTGATGCGTCTGCCAAGAAGTGCGGGAAAGTCCTGTCAAAGTACATGCCAGTTCTAGTCATGGCCCGATGACGCACACCTATGCATTCATCCGCAGCCTCCAACGTTGTCGGTCAAGCCCAAGATGTATGTGCGGTAACCAGGGTTTCGGCGCTAAATTGTTCTCAAGGCTCAGTCTTGTCTGGTTGATTTCATCTCTT